ATTTGGGTGGCGTTATGCAAATCTTCCCACATAGTGATGTAGATATGTGGGGACGTGTTAGAACGAGCCGTTTTAGGTAGGTGTGGCTGACTCTTAACTTTGATAAAGAATATCTCTTTGGTTTTGAGACTTTAGTCTTTGCAACTTCAGGGATCTTATCTATTCACGAACAGCTTGTAACACTCCAAAGAGAAAGGAAAACTTGAAATCGTATCATATGACCCCATTAAGCCATGTTAAGTGTTTATGTTTTTCTACAGGAGGAAAACGCTTAGCGAAAGACTTTGCGCATGCGTTCATATTCTGGTGTTCTGTGGCCACGGATTTGCGGGTCTTGTCTTTTTCTCCTACAGATGGCTTGCAGGACCTTGTACATTATGGTACAAAATTAGTTTTAATCGTTTAATCACCACCACAGCGTCTTGTCTCCATTGGCAACACGCACGATTTGTGTCGATTGCAAGTGATGTCGCAGGTATCGGAGAGTGCAAGTGGCGATTGCAAGTGACTTCGTAATTTAGTTTCTTTTGTCTTGTCTTCACCACCTGGCTACTGTTGTAAAATGTTGAGAGATTCAAACAAAAACAATAAATAAATAGAACAAAATAAAAAAATGAAGACTGCAAGTGACGTCGCTAGCGGAAGCGCAAGTGTCTGAGAGTGCAAGTCTGAGAGTGCAAGTGCAAGGCTGCAGCCAGACCCTTTTGGATAATGGGGAAGAGATCAGGAACTACTGTGGTGGAGGGATACATATCATGCAACTTATATTCACATCTGCTTTCTCTCTGTTTCTGTTCTTCTTTTTTTTTCATGACCTCTGCTTTTCGTCCTTTTTGCTCTGCTGAAAAAAGAAAGGCATCTTAAACCAACCTAAACTGGTTTGTTGGTCTCCCAGCCTGGTCAGGCTAATCTGTTGGTGGTTGTAACAAGGTTTTGGGCTTTTTGCCTGGTTAGGCTTGGGAGAATAACTCAAACCAACTAAGGCCAGCTTTTTAAATCATTTACTCACCCTCGTGTCGTTCCATATGACTTACTTTCTTCTGTGGAATTTATATATATATATATTAGGGCTGGGTTTTGACACAAATTTCACGATTCGATTCTTTAAAAAACACATTATATGTAAACATAAAACTCTGTCTGCATTTGTGATCGGAGAAATGACAAACAACAAGTGCTACTCTACTGCCCAAAACTCGCGTTTGAATCGTCAGTGGCAAATCCTTTAAATTAAAACGTACTTACAGACTGTGAGTCAGAACTGCCAGCATTGTAGTCTAACGTTACTCTCCCAGGATCAGTAAACAGTCTTCCATAAAATGTGCTGCACACATCTGAATATTTGGGTTGAACTGTTCTGGAACAGTGTTGTAAATACAACTTAACCACTGATTTCTAGTCGTGTCCTCTTTTGGAAGACCAAACAAAGTAGTTTCACTTTCACAACGAAAAACACAGCGGCCTAGTGTGAGGGGAAGCCCCAGCTTAGCGTGAGCTGAGGCCAGGCTAGAGTGAGCTGAGGCGGCAGGGTCGAGAATGACGTGCCCGGCGGATCCGACGAATGAGCGGCAACCACATGTGATGACCCCGGGCGGAACTCCGCTTCGTCCACAGTGAAAGTTGATGTATTCCCTCAGCGACCAGCACGGATCAGCTCTAGGCATGACGAAGCAGATATAATAGTCATGACATGCACATTTATATTCCATATCATTTAATCAATATTTTCTTTATTTTTAATATTTTCGTCATATTATTCTTTAGAACCATCAAAACACAAAATTGGTGTAGAAACAATTTTCACTCTAAATTACACAACAAATTACAAAGAATCAGCAAGTACCACATTGAATTAACCATAGAATATTTAAGTAGAAAAACTAAAATAGTGAAAAACATACCTCAATAATCTTCGTTGTATTTACAACTTTTAAAAAATTGTTTTTACAGTGCATAATTCTGTAAAATCTGATTCAGATGAAAGTCTGATTTTTTTAATGCATATTTTAAAAATACTTTACTGTGCCCAGTTGTTGTTTTCTCTACCCTTAACTCATTTGACATCATCTTTTCTTTTTGTTTGCCAAGTTTCATTAATCCTTTCTCGTCTGAGCGCTGCAGTTCTGCTTATATCAGCTCAGTTCAAACTTCTGAGTCTGCATTTATTTTTTCTTCAACAAAAAGCTTGTGTTTTCTTCACATTTTTGCTCAAATATCTTTCCCCTCGACCTCTGTGGCACCTTTTCTCACTTTTCCTCCATCATGCACGTACTTTTACAGTGCTGTACTGCTGTGTGTGCATAACGAGCACCTTTCTATCTCTCTCTGTCTCTCTTTCTCACTTCTGTTCCCCCATGAAGCTGCAGTGAAGCTCTTGACTTATTAGCTGCTTCATTTAAAGAGAAAGAGAGACAGAGAATTTTAATCACTCGCAATAGTCTCTCACCCTCAGTTGCATCTTGCAGTGGCATTGCTTCATGATTTGCGGACCATAGGACATTTGAAAGCAATACGCCTGATTGAGAGATTGATATAGTATCGATATAGTATCTGTAGTTGACATGCACAGGCTATTGATGCTGTTACTTTCAATTATATATTAATTTCGTCTTAATTTTCTTGCATTGACTTTCAAAATGTTAAAATCAAATTTTTTTTGCAGTTTAAATGCTGTTTTGTGATTTTTGATGCGTTGAGATGAAATAATGCATAATTGTTTGATTGCCAGTTATATAATGCTCAAATGCTTGCATACTGTTGTCTAGAAGCTCTTCTTTGTTTTTCTCACATAATAATCGCTTCTGCTTGCATAATTGTCATTTGCAAGCTGCATTAGATAAAAGCATCGTCTAGACGAATAAATGTTAATCTCATTTCGGATAACTTGTGTCAAGGGACTATTGATCTTATGATCCTGTTGTTTATTGTGTCCTGTGTGTTCAAAATGATTTCAAAACCCTTTTTTAATCCACCAAACGGTTCCATAACAGTGATATGTGATATGCTTTGATCATTTTGGAGATGACTAGTTGACACAAAATACTCATGGGAAGTCCTGCAGTTTGAGATGCCACCTCTAAAACTATTTTAAACAGCCGTATTAAGTATTATGCATATGCAGCGTGTATATTAATTCAGGGACTGCATGAAATAGTAACATTTGAAGGGAAAAGGTGATTAAATACTGCACATGACCTTCTCTCTTAAAATAAAAGCTTCCTTACTGGCATTGATGGTTCAGTGAAGAACCTTCATCCAAGTAACTTTATAATGAAAGAAGGTTCTTTAGATGATTCAAATGTTCTTCACATTAAGAAAAAATGGTTGTTTTAAGAACTGCTCACTGAAAGGTTCTTTTTGGGAACCTAAAATTGTTCTTCTCTAGCATAACTGCAAACATCCCCTTTTGGAAGCTTTATCTTGAAGAGTGTATGCCATCCATGCATTGAAACTCTTGATGCTGATGTCATACTGATGTTTAACATGCATCAATCACACGCACACATGAAGCAACTTTAGCCAAAAACATGCAAGGTCACATGGCAACCTTTATGTCACTGCAGTATTTTTGGCATATCAATAGCGGGACCCCTGTATGATGTGCAAGATCCCCTCCATTTTTACCTTTACTAAACATCTCCCCTCTTTCTCTCCCCCCTCCCTCCTGTCCCCCCACAGACCGCTCCTCTCACCTCCCCTCTCCGTTTTTTCTCCTCCTCTCCCTTCCCTATGCTCAGTTCGGTGTGTGTCTCCTCATTCAAAGGGCGCAAGGGTGGGAACAAGTCGTCCAACAAAGCATGTTACAGCGCCGACATGACTTGCCCGTCGGAAAGCGAGAAAATCGTCATCAACTGCGGCGGCGTGAGGCACGAGACGTACCGGAGCACCCTGAAGACGCTGCCCGGGACGCGTCTGTCGTGGCTCACTGAGCCGGACGCCTTCAGCAACTTCGACTACGACCCGAAGTCCGACGAGTTCTTCTTCGACCGGCACCCGTCCGTCTTCTCGTTCATCCTCAACTACTACCGGACGGGCAAGTTGCACTGCCCCAACGACGTGTGCGGCCCGCTGTTCGAGGAAGAGCTCGCCTTCTGGGGCATCGACGAGACCGACGTGGAGGCGTGCTGCTGGATGAACTACCGGCAGCACCGGGACGCGGAGGAGGCGCTGGACAGCTTCGAGACGCCCGAGCCGGAGGTGACGGACGACGACCCGGCGCTCGCGGGGGACGGAGACCTGAAGCGGCTCTGCCTGCAGGAGGACGGCAGGAAAGTGGGCTGGTGGCGCGTGTGGCAACCCCGGATCTGGGCGCTCTTGGAGGACCCCTATTCGTCCAAATACGCGCGGGTGAGTGTTCAGCACCTCTTTACGCATGGACAGCTCCTCAGTCTAGCGCTTCGTGGTGGTGAGCTGGTCGTTGAAACCATTAACTTAGAACCTGATTCGAGACCCTTATTCTTTTAAGTACTGTACGCATGGACTAGTTTGGCTGAAAAGTTTTAGGTTCAAACATCAGATGCCCTTGAGTTTGAGCGTAATGATTTAGAAAATCTAGGCACTTTTTCGAATGGACAAATCCATAGCAGGCTATATATTCTTTTGTTACGCGCTACCTTTATTGTTTGCAAAATGATAATGAAACTTTAACGTTTGCATAAAAAAATTAAAACTGTACATTTTAAAACCTGGACATTTTGAATGTTCAAAAACATATTTATAACCTACTGTGAACGTTTTTAAAACAGGACATACTTTTATCTGGGTTAACATAAGGTGATGTTGCCTTGTAGTAAAATAACTTGGTTGGAATCTGAAAGGTTTTGGGTTTAAATCCCAGATTGTGCCCTTGAGTTTGAACGTACTGATTTAGAAAACCTAGACACTTCTTCGAATTTACAAATCCATACTGTTAACCCACTGAACTAACTTACATTTCCCAGTTTCCCAGCTAACAGGGAACATACTTATAACGTTCTGGTAAGGTTCTTTCAAAGTTTTGAACGAACATTCTTTCAGTAATATTAACATATAATGTTCATTCAAAGTTATCTTTTTTTTTTAATGACATTCTCAAAACATTAGCACAAAAATGTATGCATCATTAAAGGAACATTTTCTCTGAAACAGTTTTATGTGGATGTTCATCTAACATTTTTTTTAAGTTACTTGTTTCAAAACATTCAGAGAACATTCAAAAGTAACTTTCCCATAATGTTTGCATTATGATAAAATGTAACATTCCTTTAATGTTTTTGCTAACATTCGCCTTAGAAAAAACTTTTTTTTTTAAAAAACGTTAAAAAGGAACATTTTGAATGTTCAAAGAACATTCATAAATGTCTTGTTTGGAAAAGTTGAAACTGAAAGATTATAGGTGCAAACGGCACAAGCATTGATCAAAAATCATTTTGTCCTTGGAATAAAACATCTAACCTCAGGCAATTAGTGTACTGTAAGTAACTTTGGATGGAAGCATCAACTAAATGAGTAATTAGTAAATCTGTGCAGTCTCGTTCCTTCACAAGGTGTGCTGAAAACATACCTGATTGTGATCACAGCTCCTTGGTTTATACCTCAGTAATCTCAAATTGCTGCTAGTTAGTAGGATAGAAGATGAAAGTTAGTTGTTTGAAACCTCTGAAGGGTTGTTCTGTTGTGCATTTGAGATTGTTTTTACTTAATTAGTAAATCCAGATGCTCTCTATTCCTCAGAATATGCATTGTCGTACTTTGTCGTTTAACCTACCGTAACGTGATTCAGCCTAGTGGTTAAAATCTGGGAGAGTTTGTAGGTTCAAACGCCATGAGCGTTGAACCATCATTGTGCCCTTGAGCAAAGATATGTCATTTAATAAATGTACAGTAAGTGGCTTTGGATGAAAGTGCCAGATAAATGACTAATGAGTAAGTAATTGTCTTAAAGATCTGAGCTAATAATTGGAAAGTTGTGAGATTGTGAACTGTCCTTGATCAAGACATTTAACCTGAGGTTACAGGTCACATTAGATGAGTAATTAGTGCAGTAACGGATGTTTGCAGTTCATCCTTCATCCTCAGACTGTTGCAGTGAGTGGATAAAGTTGCACGATTGCAGTTATCAGTCAAAGTGAAATCAGCACTGCCAGTGGATATTCCCCCAGAATCACACACTGCGCCACCATAAACACCAGCCTCATATTTATGCGTGTAATTGCATGTTATAGTGTGCCATTACGCACACACTCTTTGTTTCAGCTGTTTTAAATTGTTGCACCAACCACAAAACCGTTACTGCATTTATAGCCCATAAACCCTCTGCTCTTATGAATCTTTCATGTTTCCGATGCCCGACGCAGCAAACACAGATGCTTGTTTCTTAATCGCGTCCTTGGTAATTTTAATTTAAATGTGGGCTTGTGTTGTTTTGAGCTAATAACGTTCAATGTGATGTGATTATAACCACTGATATGGGAGCTGCTGCAGAGACGGGCTGCATTTGATTGATACTGCACGAATATGATAGACTATCACTCATATTTTTGCCCTGAGACATGGTCAAATATTTGAAAACAAATGCCCTAGTGTGTTCATACACGGTGTGGATGTATCAGATTCTGCTGAGGAAGTGACTTGAGGTTGTGTTACAGGAATTTAAATTTTTGTATACATAGAAAATCTATGTCCATTTGTCCACGTTGACTAGCATACAAGTCAGTTTATCAGCATATTTGCTAATTATTGCATGCTGTATATTGTCTGTCTTGTATTTTAAATGAAATTGAGATGCATGGCTAATTTAACATCTTATGTCATAGAGGAGCTCTCATCTTCCTTGTTGAAACCAGATATAATGTCCATAAAAGCAACATCTGTGTATATATTATACATATACATAGTATGTGTGTGCTTGTGTGTGCTAAATCCATCTGCTGTGTGCTTGTGCACTTGCAGATGAATTTAGACATGACTTATACCTGGGGAATGCATCTTCATTGTCCAAATGTCACTGGCAGGTCGATATTTGCCACAGTTCATTCACCGTGTTGTCAGCCGGGGTTTACTGTATAGTTGTTGGCGTGTGCATGCAAGCATTAACATGCATGTAGTCGCATATAGTACACACAATCAATTAGTGGTCAAATGAAGGTTTTTTAATGTCCATTGCTGAGAGAGCAGGGCGACCGATGTAGATATACTGTATAGAATGCCGTTGAATTATAAGATGCTCAATTTAAATGACGTATTTTGGGCTTTATTCATAAAAATAAGGACAACAAATTTCTGAGTAAATTATTTCTAAATCCATTCATACATACTGTTTAAAAGTTGTTTTCTTTTATTTTTTCTGAAAGAAATTAATACTTTTGTTCATCAAGGATGCATTAAAATTATCAAAAATGACAGTAAAGACGTATAATGTTACAAAAGATTTCCATTTCAAATAAATGCTGTTCTTTTTAATGTTCTATTCATCAAAGAATGCTTGTATCACATGATGCATCACAGAAAAAAAAGTATCACAGTTTCCACAAAATATGAAGCAGCATGACTGTTTTCAAAATTGTTAATAATCAGAAATGTTTTTTGAGCAGTAAAGCAGCATATTAGAATGATTTCTGAAGGATCATCTGGCACTGATGGAGTAATGATGCTGAAAATTCAGCTTTGATCACTGGAATAAATCACATTTTAAAGTTATTTTGAAAAAGAAGACCGTTATTTTGAATAGTAATATTTCACAATATTACTATTTTAGACCTCTTTTGAGAACATAAAAAAACTTTTATACAGTAATATAAATTGAAACTGAATTTTCAGTGCAACAATTTAGGTAACAGTTTTATGTACAATTTAGACATTACTTTTGCTCAAGTTTCATGAATATTTAACAAAATGTATTTTATTCAAAATTAATTTATATGACATTTATTTTTGTAATTGTATTTATTAAACATGTAATTGCTTATGATAACAATGTAACACATTTGTACGGAAGTTCTAAGCGGCCATGCATTATTTTTTTTTATCCCAAACGCGTACAGTAAAGTGGACATACAGCATAGCCTACAACACCCCATCAGTTATATTCAGGTCAATAGTGCCACCTGTTGGCGCAGTTTTGTAACTTAGAGAACAACTTTTTTTATGTCGATATAACGAGAAAATTAAGTCGTTATAACGAGAAAACAACTCTCGTTATGTCGATATAACGAGAAAATGAAGTCGTTATAACGAGAAAACAACTCTCGTTATGTCGATATAACGAGAAAATGAAGTCGTTATAACGAGAAAACAACTCTCGTTATGTCGATATAACAAGAAAATAAGTCGTTATAACGAGAAAACAAGACGGAAAAAAAAAAATGCATGGCCGCTTAGAACTTCCGTACATTTCGGAGTAAATCATTCTTCAATTTATTCATACATAAATTGAATTCCATTGAATTGAATTGAATACAACAATTCAATCTTTGCGCTAAAATATTCGCCAAATTATTTCCGTTTAGTGACAGTAAATAAGATACACTTTTTCAAACTTATTCATAAAAATAAGAAGAACACGTTTTTGGTAAATCACTGATAAAACCATTCCTGGATAAACTATGCTGTTTACATTTAATTAAATGCACCAATTTACATAATGATTTTGCCTGTGATTTACACAGGAATTCATACTGCTCATGTTTCACAAATAATGCTTATTTGTTTTAACATATTTATGCAAAACTCTCAAAAAAAATGTGAAAATAAAGATAATGCTCTGTCAAGTGCAAACACAGTTTCTCAGAAAGCATTTCAGCAGTGTGACTTTGCTCGGTTTCTCTCCGGTCATGCATTAGGACATGACAGCGCTCTGTAACCTACACTCAAATCTAGGAGGACTAGACAAGACAAAGAGACATGCTTGTAAAAAAAGAGGCAGAGGAAGGATTCAGATGTGAATGGAAGGATATTGTTGGCATGATTTAAAGCTGCTCGCTATAGATTCATGAGGCGGGTGAAGTGTGAAACATTTATGAGCCAAGTGATAATCTGCATGTTATTCACACCAACAGCAGTCCAACACACATGAAGCTTGAACACACACACACACACATACACACTTGCGCGCAACATTGCTGCAATACTGCTCACCAGCAGCCCGAGCTGTGCACTAGAGCAAGAGATGAACGAGAGAGGGTCAGATGTAAGGAATATGAAGGGAAAAAAAGTGTGCTGGAGGAAGCAGAGCGGTGAGAGATTGAAGGAGATGGACATTTGCGAGGGGGAGTGGCTGGAAATGAGAGCATGGGGGTTGAGGAATGCTTTATGGATTCATTTTAACATCTTCAATTATGACTAAAGGCACCGGATGCCTTCCTCCCCCA